ACTTTGAGATGTGACATTACCTTATATAGCTTTGCATACTTCAATGTACTTTTTATTTATTTCTTATCAAATTTTGTACTTAAGTAAAGGATGATCCAAGTTCTATAAATAGATTGTCAAAATTTTAAAATAAGGAATAATTTTTCGGGAGGGAGGAAATGTCTAGGACCTCACACGAGGGACCTCTCCTCTTCTTTCGAGATCCTTCCTCCTCCCTTCTCTCTATTTCTTTGTCCCTCTCATTTTCTCAATGTTATTAATATTTGAGCATAACCCACATATAAATCAGAAGTCAACATTTACCTATAAGAGGATAATTACAATAGATTAAGCATCATATAATAAGAAACAATGATGATAATAGAGAAATAGGAAAGGAGTGAAAAGTTGTTTTATCCATAAGAGAAAAAAAAAAATCTTCGGATGCTAGCAACTATAATTCTTTAGCTTCTTCAAGAAAAAGAATTAGAAGCCTTATCTTTGTAGGTGACTATTTTTTTTCTTTGCAAGCGAATACTATCCTTGTTAGTATTCTTATTTTTATAAAGTGTAATTCAACATGAATATATTTTGAAACTTAGCGAATTATTTGATGTTTGTGTGATAATGGATGTCGGTTTACTGAAATTGAATCACATAACTTTTATCTTCTCTTTTATGGTTGTCAATCTTATGCTTTTAGAATATTGCCATAAGCATTTACAAAACATCTATTGTAAAATAGGATACTCTAAAAGAAGAATAAACATTCATAATAAAAATGAACAAATTTTCTTAAAATGCTCTGGAGATAGTAACTTCTTGAAAAGGGAGACATTTCTTTCAAGTATTAAAAAAATAAATGAAATAACCCTCTACACCTCAAGATATTCCATGTTTTAGGTTAGGATGAGTGCTTTTTTTCATAGCTCTATAATGATGATAAGTAAAGATACCATCAAAAATGTTTTGATGACTTTTGGATCCCGGATTGTCTTTTCTAAACACTCCTCAAGAGTTAGAGTTAAGTGAATGAGAGAATAAATTGAACTAAGAGTTATTGCGGAAAGAACTGGGGGAATCCAAATGACCTGCCTCCCTTTGGTCGTCATTTTGCCTCTTATATATAAGAGTGTATTTTGTACAGTTACAAAAAGGAGGGAACAACTATAAAAATCATTCTTAATATAATTAATGCTCTAACAAATTGTATGAATTTTATTCCATATCAATATTATAATTTAAATTTTAATCGATTATTGTTTTCCTGCCTCCTCTCAGACTAAACTGAGCTTACAGTCTCTCGCTTGACTCTCAGGTACAATGACAATTCTTCTGCTGGTTTCGGGCTTTGGAGCATTTGTGGGGATGCTAATGAATCCTTCAAGTTTTTGAATGCCTCTTTGTATTCGGTTATCCATTCGAAAAGCTGATTTTTTCTTATTGCCCTAAAGAATGCTACAAACTTGTCGCATGAATTCAAGATAAAATGATTGAGCCCATCAATACGGTTGGTCAATCTCTGAATTTCCTTGGTGCTCCAAGGGTGTGGTATGTCTAGGATCACCTTTACTTTCTTGGGATTGGCTTTCAATCCATCGGGGTCAACAAGAAGCCGAGGAACTTATCAGTCGATGCCCCGAAGGTGCATTTGATAGGGTTCAATCTCATATTGAATCTTTTGAGTGTTCTGAATATCTCCCTTATATCTTTGATGTGTTGTTCAACTGACTTATTATTAACTAAGATATCGTTGACATAAAAGCTCATCAGTCTTTCCTTTTTTTATTAAAAAAAATTATATCCATGAGGCGTTGTTACGTCGCCCCAACATTATTAAGCACGAAGGGCATTATATTAAAACAAAAAATTCCTTGTGCAGTAATGAATGTGATTTTCTCTGCGTCAGCTGCATACGCCTTTAATTGGTGGTAGCCGGAGTAAGCATTAAGAAAACTCATTACTAAGTATTTAACCATTGCGTACACCAAGGTGTCAATCTTCGACAGGGGTAGGTGTCCATTAGGCAAGCCACAATGAGGTTAGTGAAGTCGACGCACATCCGTCACTTGTCGTTGGCTTTCTTGACCATGATAACATTCGAGAGCCAGGTTGGGTACTGGACTGCACGAATGTAGTCGGCACCCAACAACTTTTGTACTTTTGTCGCTATTGGTTCGACCAAAGTTATGGTGATCGACCGGAACTTCTATTAGAATGGTCGAGAATAGGGGTTGATGTTCAGTCGGTGGCAACATTGCATCAATCGAAACGTTGAGCATTTCCATTTAGTTCCAAGCAAACACTTCTTGGTGCTCCCAAAGCGTCTGTAGCAGTTGGTTTCTGAATCCTGCATCAAAACATTCACCTATTAGAAAAGCTTTACCAGGTTCTTCGTCGGACAATGCCACCTGGAGGATGGCCTCATTGGTCTCATAACCCCCTTCCCTCCGAATCTGGATGTCAAATGGTTCATGATCAATGCTCTAAACTACTTGCGAATAGAAGTTTATAGACTGCTCCAAGTTCCCCCAAATTGTAATTTCTTCCCACACCATAAAACTTTACGACTACATGGCAGATGGAAGTTACCTCCCGGTAGCTATCCAGGAGTGGTCGACTGAAGATATCATTGTAGGTCGGTGTTGACTCTACCATGAGAAAATCCTCTGTATTGTCGTACTGCTTTCCTGGTTCTCCCCAAGCAAAGGAGAGAGCGACGAGGCCTAACCGTTCCTTCCTTTCCCAAACAAATCTAAACAAGTGGTCGGATGGTGCTCAAAAGAAGACATTCTGTCTTCAAAAATGATATTAGTTGACTAAATTACCAACTAGATTGTCGCCAATTATTTCAATATTATCTTAAAGTTAATGAATAAGTGCTTGCATGCATAACTAATTTATTAGAAAAAAATTAAAAATTTTAAGATGTTGAATTTGAACCCTCATCAATGAAAGCAAAAATTTGACGAAAAATAATCTTAGTGAGACTAAAAAAGTGAGCCCTAAAATTATATTCTTTAATTTCCTTAAAAAGAATTATTTTAATCACATTTTAGTAATTGGAAGATAAATAATAAAAAATTACTTAATATGATATAAAGTATAATTTTTTAAAATATTTTAAATAATTTATGGATAGAAGTTTTGAATTTTAATATATTTTTAGTGTATCTTATATTAATATTTTTTTTAACAAGCTAGCTTACAAGCTAACGAGTGGAGTCAGGTTGGCTTGAGCTTAGCTTGGTAGCTCCACGTGTTCAGCACACGAGCCACTTACCAAGCCAAAGTTAAACCAGTTTATAACTAGGAAAGGCTCAATGACACCCCAAACCCACATTTTAAATAATTAAATGATGATAATGATAATGCTAATGATAATAAATAAATAAATAAAAATGCATACAATTAATTTTTTAGGGAAAACAATACGAACAACCGGTATGATAATACCACCAAATTTTAATTATAAAAATATCGAGTAAAAATTGTGAAAAATTAGGAAAATAGAAGTAAGCAAGGGGCTAAATTGGGCTTTTTTTTATTAGGGTTTTCTTATGAGTGGGCAAAAACCTAAATATTAATATCTTCTTGAGGAGACATAAATTTTGAGGGTGGCATTTCCTTGTGGTTCTACCTCTCTATGGACTCTTAGGGCATCGCCCCTAAATTTTTAATTTACACTCATAGCACTAGTCTCTCTAATATCATATCAAAATTAGCACTATTAAAAGTGGAATGCATATTTTCATGCATAGGTTTTAAACATCAGTGTTATACATATAAATATAATATTTTAGCCGTGAGATATGTAAACATATAAGGATTGTGTGCTACCTATGTAGATTTCCACATAGCACTTGTAAAATTGCTATTTACAAAACTGCAACCCTCTTTCATCCATTTTTTTTTAAATTCATTCAAATATTATAATTCATAATAAAAACCTAACTAACATTTTTCATTTTTATCAAATTCTCAATTGTGGCACACATAAATGCATTTGCATATAATATTTAGGCTCAATTCCACCATGCATATATATGTGTGTGTGTGTGTGTCGTAAGTCGTGACATGTTGGTTGGCAGGGTTCACTGTAAGTCCTCTTAGGTCACGGGTTCAATCCCCAGTGATATTGAGTTCTGGAATATTTAAACACAAGGAGCGGGTTCTCATCATAAGGCCTAACACATTGGAAATCCGTATTTGGGCCTTTGCCAAATACTGATTTCCTTCTAAAATATGTATTAATTTGTATTCAAATTATACATTAAACATTATTATTTAGATATGGAGATTTCTAAATAATTGTTATATTAATACATGATGATATCTGAAGGTAGCGTTCATACCTAAGGGCGTTCAAAAATAAAATAAAATGGAAGGTTTATATGTAAATGCTCCTAAATATTATTGATTATACTCTAAATTACAAAAAAATGCATCTTTTAAATTCTATGATGCTTTCAAATCTTTCGCTGCTATGTATTAAAGTTAACTCTAGAAGATAAAGATCAATCCAAGCATTATGTAAATCATCTGCACTTTAAATGATGCAAAACTGAAGCTATATCCATGAAGATGTAGAATAACCCTAAACCCTAAACACAAAAAACAATATTAAATTCTCACCAAAACTGAAGCATCTATTAACCTTTTGGAAAATTTACATACAATGCCATAATTCTTATGTATTTACATATCTAAACACCCAAAGTTCCTTATTTAACTCTTAATACCATGACATCATAAACATATGCATGGAAAGATGTATTTCACTTCTAAAACGATAATGATGGCGGCATTTTTAACGTGTTGCTAAATACTTGAGTGATATGTAAGTAAATATGAATGTTCAGATGTTAGATATGTAAATTCGTAAGAATTTTGTGGCATATATGTAAATGCCACAAAAAATTTTAATGACCAAACAATTTGAAAGCACCCTCAAGATCAATATACCAAGATAAAATTAGGTAACATCACGCTTCATAATAGCATACTACTATCAATGATACAGAATCAATGGTAATTATGAAAAACTAAAATGAACATAGCCATGTTAAACGAATGCATCTAATCATCATCATTTGAGCTTACATCAACCGAAAATCGAAACGGTTTATCGCCTTCATGAAAAGAAAATAATGTTTCTTCTTCAGTCCTATCCCCAATTTGATCTGTTCTTACACGAGCTTTTCTACATCGAAGAATAAGCGCCGGCAGGTTGCTGTTGAGTCATTTCTGCGGAACATAAGCAGCACTGGATGATATCTCTGCATCTAAGTCATCCAAGCTCTAGTAATGACTGGAGGAGAAGTTAATAATAACCAGCTCTCCTCAAGTCTGCAGACTCCTGCTGCCCGGCCTCGCCATCGTTACCGAGGAAAACAAGGCGGCCTGTTTAAAAAAAAAAAAAAGTCATCTAATTAAGGGTGTGCAGTCGGTTAATTTGAATGAATCGGCTCATAAATTAGTTAAATTGAATGATTCTCTATGAACTCAGAAGGCAAAGATATGAGTGACTCGAACGAACCTGAGATGTCCGCTATGCAAGAGATAAGGACAAATCAATTTTATTTTATGAGTAATCAGGTTTCTCATGAGCGCAAGCCTCAACCATTAATTACATCCTGGACAAAGAGCCCAAGAAGAATCTCGATTAAGGTGTTTGTTCATTTTCCTTTGGGGCTCTACAGGAGATTAAAAAAATAAGAAAGTTACAGGAATCAAAGGAGGATGGGCTCAAAGACATTGAAACAAATCAAAGAAGATAACTAGACTACTAGGGGAGTAAACGAGCCGAACACGAGCGAGTCAAGCTCAGCTCTTGTTCGGCTCGTTTATATTTCGAGCTCAAAAAGTGTGTTCGTGTTCGGCTCGTTTGCTTATTCACGAACAAAGAATCCTTTTAAGAGCCCTAATCACGTAGCCATAAGACGATAAGGGTTTAAGCAAGATTTAAAAATTATTATTTATATTAAAACATCATTTGAATCGAATTTAAGAATTTTTATTCTATTTTCTTAATCAATATTTTAATTGTTTATAAATCTTCGTAGCCTTGTAGATAATTAGATTTTTTTAAAAATACTACTTTTATGTATATATATATAAACATAATGAGTAGTATTTCGAGCCAAAACGAGCCGAACACGAGCGAACACATCTTAGTTCGTGTTCGGCTCGTTAACTTATCGAACGAAATTAACGAGCCGAACACGAGCTTCTTAACGAGCCGAACACGAGCTGTTCGCGAACAAAGAGCCGTTTTGACAGCCCTATAGACTACGTAGTGGGCATGACGTTCCCGGTTAAAATCCCATGGTTCCATTATTCTAAATTGTTGATGCCCTTAGTTTGCTTAGTCGTAAGGGTGGCCGAAGAATCTTTGTTAGCAGTCATAGGTTACCTCATCCAAGACAAAGAGGACGTCACAGGCTAAGGATGTGGACCTAGTCCTAGGTTGACAGACAAAATACACTACACTCTCATATGATGGAGAAGTTCATATTGGACTTATAGCATTGCATGTGATGATACATGTCAAGGCTAACACATAGCACCTAAGGTTCTAATGCTCGGCGGTAAGAGAGATATGATATATGCGAGTGAGACTCATAGTTTGATCACATACAATCAAGATACCCAACACATCTCCTCAATAAAGTGTGACGAGGCACAAAAAAATATAAAAAAACTGATCAATATACTGTGAAAGAAAAGAAGCATGTGGACTCTCAATATCATGTGAGAAGAGATACAACAAGATATTTCCCTTAATATATTGTGAGGGATATCGAGAAAAAAATACTCTCCTCAATATGTTGTAAGAAGAGATCAAGTTCCGGGATAAGCGCGGTGGCGACTTTCTAACTGTGGTCTGACTTTTTTGAAAATATATATATATATAATTGCCACTGCAAATTTTTTAACATCAAATTATTTTTCAGCAGCTTCACATCTGCTTTTTAAATAAGCTACAGCTGCCCCAAACAAACCCTTAATCAAAAGCTATCAAGAACAATGATGATCACAATCGATGCAGGATTATCTTATAGGACCCATGAGTGAGCCTAAAGATGATCGATCACCAAAATGAGATCAACGTTCAATTTATTTTCTTCCCAAATGAACTTAATTTCTTGATCTTGATATTATTCGATTTTTTATTCTTTGTTTAATGGACATTAAAATCGAATAGAAAACTGAAATCGCATAATAAAATTTTTAAAATAAAAGTTGAATTACTATTTTAAAACTGAAACAAATCAAACAAATGAGCTCAGTTTAGTTCAATTTTTCAATTTTCACCAAATAATGCACACATCTGCATCTAGTAAGCGAATTGGTAAGAATGTAAATGGTCAGCAAATGCAGCAGTGCTATTTTTTTCTTAGAGATGTGAATAGAACAAAAGAAAACATTAGTGCTGCTTGATGGGATGTGAGGTACAATTCAAACTATTCTTCAATCTGATTTGGCTCAAACTTGTTATAAAACTTTTTTAATTGACAAAAAAATCAACACCAAACAATCTCCTCATCTCTTTCATAATGGCTTTACAGCAGCATAGTTTCAATATTCAGAAATGTAAACTATAGAAGTTCAAGCATCAATAGAACAAATGAATAAATGATGGTGGATCATATGAGTTCCATGAAAAGTTCAAATTGTTTGAAAGAGTGATGCAAATAGCATACCACCATGCCGTATAGCTACTTCTCTTATACGTCTAACAAGACCAGTAATTGGATCACTAAAAACCTTCGACTCGAGGTTTCCTTCCAAGTAGAGGAGAGATCTATAACATAAAGATCAAGATGCAGGCGATTAGAACATATAGAAAAGTAAAATTTAAGATGATGGAACAAAGTGTATATAACCGTAAATACAAGCAAACATTATTAAAAACAAATACTTTCGTTAATAAAAGATGATGAATTGGTTAGTCATCTTTAACCCAGCAACACAAAAGCTTCCCGAACTTTTTTGCAAAATGCTAGTTAAGATTTCATAAAATTTGCATGCCTGATTTTAAAAGAAAAATACCAAAAGAAATGATTGCATATGGGCTGGATGTATTTACAAGTATATTAAAGGTGACATTATGAATGTTCATTCTTTTCAGGATTAGAAAAAATAGACTTGAATTATTCAACGACACTTAACCCCTAGTTTTTCCAATTTTTCACTCAACAAATCCATTCTCATTAAGCACAAAGGAAATGTAATTTCAACAACAAATGGACATAGACACTTACATTTGATATTTAATTTAAAAGAGTTTAAATAGGTGAAATCAAAATAAAAAAGAATCATTTTTGTCAATTATAGTTAATCCAAAATAACATATTTTGTAACAAAATTGTTATTCTATTTTTATACAACAAAAAAATTTTTATATTCATCTCCAAATCATTTATTTTAGTTTTCTAGCAATTTATTGAAGCACTACCCAAAAAAACTATCCCTTTTGGCTTGATATTGTGATAATATATTATGGATCTCGTATGCAATCCAAGCTCCTAAAGGCCCGAAAAGTTGAGCGTCTTACAACCATAAAAATCTCAAATGATGCTCAAACTTAATAGCTACAAGGGATCACTAAAGCTCATTTATTACATAACAAAATGAATCTACTTATAACAAAATGCAACAACCACTAAATCCTCATAACCATGGAGTACTTGTTCCCTTGTCCTGAATGTTAAAATATCACGTCTCCAATAGTCTTCCCCATAATACCTTTGTTGGGGAACCTGAATTGCAACCAGTAACTATCATTTACTTCTTATGTCATAAATGATTATTCAACTCAAGTAGCTCCTCTCAAATTTGTACCGTGCAATAAATAAAGTCAACTAGTTATCTTTGCTTTCATGACAACGAAAATAACCTTACAAACTTTAAAAACTTACATATATCTTAATAATCTAAAGCCTATTTCGCTAAAAATGAAATAAGATTCTTCGGAAGGTCCACTATATAGCCGACCTCAATCAAAATCTTAATCACATAATCATTTATCTTGAACTACATGATGTTGAAACTGTCTTAAATAATTGTTTTACATAAAAGCATAGCAACTGGCAAATGGCAAATGGCAAATGGCTTATAAGTGAAAAATAAATCTTCATAATGACATATATGACATTAGCATATAGAGTCTAAGATCCAATAATATCTAAATATTACTCTAATCGTCACTAGAATAACATCTCTTAAATTAATCCTAACCACTCTACAGACAATCAAACATACAAGCATATATTTTCCTCTTTATAATTGCAATTTGCAGAGAACTACTCTCTCAAAGTTTGACAATCTTTCTTGATGTGCCCATTTACTTTGTGCATTAAAAGAAAAATAAACTGTTCAACGATTCTAACTACAATGGAACTTATTTTTTTCCATGATAATGTAGATTCATCAAAAGGTCTCCACTAATAAAAAATTATGTAGCCTGCTTTTGATATCTTTACAAGCTCAAACCTAACAATCATAGTTTTTAAATAAGTTAATTCTTAAAATCTTCTAGACACTATACAACAACAAATACAACAACAATCCTTTATCCCACTAAGTGGGGTCGGCTACATGAATTTTTTTCCTCCATTGTGTCTTATTGAGAGTCAAATTTTCATTTAGTTCTAAAAAATCTTCTAGACAAACTATATTTATTTCAAACTATTTTGTTCCATGCCAATGCATAGTAGATAAGGTAAGAAATAAAATATGTAACAAAGCTTGATAGGCATCATTAATGATCACATTTACATCTCTCAAATTCTTAAAAATGAAAATAAACTTTTTTAATGTGTTATTTAAAGGGCATATCATTTTGTATGCAAATTAAAAAATGCTTTAAATAATTTTTTTTTGGGTATTTTTGTAATAATGTACAAAAACTCTGGCTTGAATCACAACCCGTATGCAATTATTTCCTCCAAAACCTCGATCAATAACTTATCCATAAAACATGGTTAAATTACTAGGGAGCTTTGCATCCATCCCAACCGCCACTTCATTCATAATCTAATGCATATTTAAATATCCAATGAGTGCTTTCATATGACCGGATTAGACTAAAATATCTCCAATTTTGGCTCACTGGAGCACAAAACTTGTCTAGCCATCAAACTTTTACACTCATACATTTCATCAATATTGTATGCCATTTTAATGTCATATCATTTGTTATAAAAAAAAATAATTTTTGCAAAAGAGTGTATTATGAATGGATATTATTTATATAAGAAAGTAATAATAGGATAAAGCACCATGAGAAAACACCTAACTTTACAGAAGTTAACCAAAGAAAATGTTTGCATTCACATGGAGATATAAAGCTAAGAAGATATGTATAATTCAATCAATATAATTATTTACATTAAGTGGCCAAATAATACGCCTAGCAAAATGCTTTCTAAAGCCAAGTACACTCAATCTCACCATAAATAGGACCACAAAAATATTTGTAATCGAGAAAAAGATAACAACATAATATTTTGTAGAATAACAACAACAACACAATAGATATTAAAGAAAGTAAGCACAAAAGGCCTAGAATACCAGCACTTGAATGATGATCAAACACAACCACCACACTTTCAAAACAAAACTGCGTTGAACGCTAGTGTTGTTGCTTGATCCATCATCAGCATGTTTGCATCATGTAAAAGCAGTCAACATAGTATTAAACTAAAGAGCAAGTAGCTGTCCATATTTTCCTCTTTGCTCTACTACTACTTCTTCTTTTTTCTCTTATTCTTCTTTATCCTACTAGCTATTTCTTCAACAGCAATTTACCGCTCAATAAATCGAGTTTCCACTCAATGAGACCATGCCCATTGTTGTGCACAGGAAAATGAGTTTGCATAATTTATGTATATCAGCTCCTTTATCCAAAATTGTATTTATAAGTGGTAGAAATGTAAAAATTAAAACTTAAGTTTGAGCTAATCCAAAATAGTAAATAAAATTTGCAAAATTTTGAAAATATTATTGTCAACGAACAAAAGATTATTTGTATTTATCCTGAAATAATCTATTTATTTTGGTAATATTATTAAAGAAATATCATAACAATCATACAAGACAGAGATAAAAACATAATCAGAACTGAATAGAAAAAAAATAAAAATTGATGATCTAAGCTCATGAGACAGGAACATAAATATATGCCCCATTTCCAGTAAAAATAAAAAGATCTAGGAATTTAAACCACAGAAGCCTTTTTCAGTGGAAAAGTGTAGCAGAACCCCTCGCAGCGTAAGAAACTTTCTCGGATTGAAAAAAAAAGCATGTATGTATTTAACACACGATTTTGCACCCAAAATCTCTTTGATGAAATGAAAAACGTTTTAATCCAAATAAACGGATAGCTCATTAAAGCTTGGCTCACCCGGGTTTTACATGGTTGAGAGCTATTCTTCCGAGCCGCTCCGGGTATATGCATACACGATGCCATTGAACAGCACAGCGCTCAGCGTATTGCATCGGTTCCTCGTCCTCGAGCGGCCGCCGGTTGTTCCTGATCCCGCCTGCAG